GAACTGCAGATCCGTCAGAATGAGAAGATTAAGGCGATGCAAAGTCGTCTGTAAGTGCTGCTATATGCAGTTGAGTGAGTTGAGTCTTGGAATAAGTGAAGCACGTACCAGTAGTACTTTATAAACAATGCTGGTGTCATTCTTGTCGTATCGAATCTGGTGCCATTCGAAGCCACTTTTCTGATAATCAAGATTTTTGATTATCCTAAGCAGGAAGCTAAACTGTTGTTAGCTTCTTGGATTCACTTTTCAATTCGCCATTTTCGAGCCAACCCTTTCTCGTCACGACTAGTGAATTCGTCTTCGATGTCTATCATCTTCAAGTCGCCGCACTCCGACGTCTCGATCCCAGACGACGCAGCAATCTGGAACAAGTTGGAACAACATGCGCATGAGAATGGGGACAAACCTGCACTTGTCTGTGGGATGTCCGAGAGAACGCTGTCGTTCGCAGAGGTTTTCAACTTGGCTCAACGCATTTGCGCTGGGCTCTACGCGAACGGCATCAAGAAAGGAGACGTAAGTTTTCTCTTTTGGTGCAATTCTGTACTAAACCGTACCAACCGCAATGTTATCGGTACAGATCGTAATCTTGCACTCGTTCAATTGCCTGGAGTACCCTATCGTGTTCTTGGCGTTGAACCGTTTGGGTGCAATTTGTTCCCCGTCGTCGCCACATTTTAACAGCGACGAACTCGGGGACCAAATGCGCGCTTCAAAGGTACAGTTATAGTGTCATGCTCCACCAAATCTCGTCACTAACTCATTAGTTCCAGGCATCCGCAGTGATCTCGCACGTGGCATTCGCTGAGATGGCTACTCAGGCTGCAGGACGTGTTGGCATCCCACTCAATCGGATGTTCACACTTGGACACGCCAAAGGGGCCCTTGGATTGCAAACCATCGAGTAAGTAGGCCCCACCTCGTCCTGTATTCCAACTAAACCGTTGATTGTGTCCCCAGAGCTCTGATTGAGCTGAACCTGCCATTCCCGAGTCTCCCACGTATCAACCCTGACGACGTCGTGTTGCTACCATTTTCAAGCGGCACTACTGGTCGTCCTAAGGGCGTGGAGCTCACAGCTCGATCCATGTACGCTTGCGGTGCTCGTGTGTCTGCTCTTGATGTCGATGCAGACTACATCCTCGCCGTACTGCCATTTTATCACATCGCAGCGACCATGATCTTCCACGTGACGATCTTCAAACGGATCGCCATGATCGTGTTGCCTCGATTCGAGCCTGGGAGCTTCCTACGAGTCATCGAGAACTTCAAACTTGATACAGTCTACGTCGTCCCACCGATCGTCCAGTTCTTGGCGAAACATCCTCTTGTAGACAAATACGACCTATCCTCGTTGAACCGACTGGCCTCTGGAGCTGCATCTTTAGGCGGCGAACTCTTTGATGCCATTCAGAACCGTCTTGGACTCCCAGTTCTTCAAAGCTACGGCATGACGGAACTTGCTGGTTCTGCTACTCACACCTCCCGAACGGAATATCGTAAAGGCTCAGCTGGAAAACTACTCCCCAACACGGAACTTCGAGTGCGATGTATTGAAACAGGAGTCGACTTACCTGTAAATCAACGTGGAGAGCTGTTGATCCGGTCGCCAGGAGCGATGAAAGCCTACTTTAACAACCCAGAAGCTACTCGTGAAGCTTTCACGGACGATGGCTTCATTTGCACCGGTGATGTAGGCTACATCGATGAGGATGACTACATCTTCATTGTCGATCGACTCAAGGAGCTTATCAAGTATAAGGGCCACCAGGTTGCACCTGCTGAGATCGAGGACGTAGTGAACTCGCACCCTCAAGTCGCTGACTCGTGCTGCGTGCGGGGACTTGACTTGGAGACGGGTGGTGAGATCCCTAAAGTCTTTGTGGTGCGTAAGTTCAGCGGAGATGAACCGCTCACGTCCAACGCGTTGATGGAATATGTAGCGTCCAAAGTGGCGAGCTTCAAGCGGGTGCGCGAAGTGGAGTTCATCGACGTCATTCCGAAGAGTCTGTCGGGCAAGATTCTACGACGCAAACTGCAGCTCGAACAGGATAAAAAGGTAGCGGCGGCGAGATCAATTAAGAGCCGTCTATGACAGGAGAGGTTGAGCCTAATGTAGTTGACCATGTAGTACATTTTAACGCCATGACGAATGAATTGTTCCGCTTTCACGTTACTGTCGTTCTTGTCGAGTGATTGGTGCTAAAAAGGGGCACCCTGTTGATTCGCACTTGGCTTTGTCATCATTTCGGTCTTCGCAGCGAATTCTGCGTCTCCGTTGCGTCCGGTCACCCTTACGGATGATCTTCAGGTCCAGGTGCCCGACGCTCCCGATCCCGGACGACGCATCGATTTGGAACGTCGTGGAGCAACATGCGAACACCAAAGGCGACAAACCGGCGTTCATCTGCGGGCTCACGGAGAAGACACTAACTTTCGCGGAGCTTCACCGCCAAGCTAAGCAACTGTGTGCAGGTTTAGCAGCCAACGGTCTCAAAAAGGGTGACGTACGTGGTAATGCTGCCCCGTATTAGCTGCAAAATTCCAACGTTGTGCTGCTACAGGTTGTGATCTTGCACTCATTCAACTGTCTCGAGTACATTGTGGTATTCCTGGCGCTTAATCGTCTCGGAGCGATCTGTTCACCGTCATCCCCGCTCTTTAACGCCCAGGAGCTGGCTACCCAGATTATGACCGCTGAAGTAAGTTCCAAGAAAAAGATGGCTACATGTATTCTCTAACTAACTTCGTTGTTTTGAAGGCGGTTGCCATTATTTCGCACAAGAAGTTCACCAGCGTTGCGGTGGAGGCCGCTGGACTGTGTAGTATCCTGCTTTCACGGGTGTACACGCTTGGTCAAGCTGATTGTTCTTCAGAACTACAGTCAATTGAGTACGTTATGATAGTACATGTTGATACAGTGAAAGCTTATCCTATTTGTTTATAGGAATTTAATCGCAATGAACCTGCCGTTCCCGGACATCCCGCCTATCGACTCGAAGCAAGTCGTGACGTTGCCGTTTTCCAGCGGTACAACAGGCCGTCCGAAGGGCGTGGAGCTCACGGCACGTGCAATGTACGCGTCTGGAATGATCCCAGGCTACAGGGAGAGCAAGACAGAACCCGTTCTAGGTATGTTGCCTTTCTTCCACATCATGATGACCATGAATTTCCACGTCACGCTGTACCACGGAAAGGTAATGATCGTATTACCTGGATTCACACCCGAAACGTTCCTGCGAATGGTGGAGAAATACAAGCTAGACATGATCAACCTCGCCCCGCCACTTGTCACGTTCCTGGCTAAAAGCCCCATTGTAGCCAAGTACGATCTCTCCCACGTTAAGTATGTGAAGTCTGGAGGAGCGCCACTAGGCAAAGAAGTCGAACGCGCTGTCATGGAGCGTCTTGGTATCCAAGTGTTGCAAGGCTATGGGATGACAGAGTTCGTAGGCTGTGGCTGTCGATCATACCCGGCTATCGTTCGAGCTGGGTCTTCAGGCACGTTGCACCCCAATACGGAGCTGAAGGTGAAAGATCTCGAGACTGGAGAAGATTTACCAGCGAATAGAACAGGAGAGCTATTGTTCCGTACTCCAACGATGATGAAGGGATACTACAACAACTCGGAGGCAACTCGTGCAGCTTTCACAGAAGATGGATTCCTTCGGACTGGTGACCTTGGCTACATCGATGACGATGGCTACATTTTCATTGTGGATCGACTAAAGGAGCTCATCAAGTATAAGGGACACCAGGTAGCCCCGGCAGAAGTCGAGGACGTGGTGAACTCTCATCCATCAGTCGTTGATTCGTGCTGTGTACGTGGTCGAAGTTTGGATACTGGGGAAGAGATCCCCAAGGCGTTCGTAGTGCTCAAGAAGGGAGAAGAGTTGACAAGTGACGCATTGATCACCTTTGTTGCTGCCAAGGTGGCGGACTACAAACGAGTACGTGAGATAGAGTTCGCCCACACTATTCCGAAGAGTTTGTCAGGTAAAATCCTTCGACGGAAGCTGCAATTAGTAGAAGACAAGAAGATGCAGCAAGTAAGGGGGTGTCGGTTGTAAACAACCAGGAATCAAATTTAACTGGAATATTGTCGGTAAGCGTTTGTTTGTTCTTGATGAAGATTCAACGACCGCCACCGCCCACACCAGACAAGATCATAAGACCAAGACACCAATGGTGGACTCTCACTTCAACGTGAAAAAAAAAAAATACTTAATCTTCGTGGTTCTCTTCATCACAAACTGCGTAACGTATGCAGGTACTGTAGTGAATCACCAACCACCACTAGTAATATTACTGTGGACACCTTTGCTCCATCTGGGAGGCCATGGCCTCGCACGTGCAGGTCCAGCACTGCTGGATGACCACGTCAGACGAGCCCCGGACACCTTGACAAGCAGTCGATGGTCATGAGGCCACGGGTGGTCTCTGATGGTCTCTTCACTGCGTGAGCTCTTTGTTTGACCTCTGCAATCGGCCTGCAAGGCGCTGCATGCATGCCATGCACCACAGCATGCTTGGCCATGAAACCTTGGGGGGATATGACACGCAACATCTTCATTTCTGCTTTTGACTCGTCGTCTGCACGGCACTCATTGATATCTATCCGACCATCGAAATGGTCTTCTCTTCACCACACGGCGTGATTCCGATCCCCAAGGACAAGACAGCTTGGGACTGGGTCGAGGAGCATGCCGCCAACATCCCAAACAAACCCGCCTACATTTGCGCCATCACCGAGCGAACACTGACGTTCGCGGACGTCCACGACCAAGCTCGGAAGATTTGTGCTGCATTGGCTGCCGAGGGCATCAAGAAGGGAGATGTAAGTAGCCACCGGTGCTTAACAATGGTTAAGCATTCGCTAAAGCTTCGTGTATTTGTTGTTACAGGTTGTGACGCTGCACTCGTTTAACTGCGTGGAATACCCGGTTATCTTTCTGGCACTAACCCGCCTTGGTGCCGTGTGCTCCACCGCGTCGCCGATGTTTAACGAACACGAACTCGCTGACCAAATGAAGCACTCGGAGGTATGATTTATCATATTAAAGGTCCATTGCCCTGGTTGACTAACTTAACCATCCTTGCAGTCCGTTGCGATCATCACTAACGCCAAGACGGTGGACATCGCCGTTAAAGCTGCGTCGATCAGCGGAATCGACTTGAACCGAGTCTACACCATTGGACACGCCGACATCTCCGTCAAATTGATGTCGATTGAGTGCGTAATATCAAACTACTACTCCCTACTTACCGCTATGCTAACTAATTGTATTATTTTTCAAGGGACATGCTAGCGAAGGACATTCCGTTCCCGAACTTGCCTCCAGTGGACCCGGAAGCCATCGTCGCTATGCCTTTCTCTAGTGGCACCACTGCTCGACCGAAAGGTGTGCTTCTGACTGGACGCGCATTGTTCGCTGGTGCCATGATGTCCAGTCATTCGGAGAAAGATATGGAGTACACAATGACTGTACTACCGTTCTTCCACATCATGTCCACGTTGCTGTTCCACATGGCCTTCTACCGTGGCTGGGGGACGATCATCCTGCCTAAATTCATGCCGGAGGAATACCTCAGTGCCATTGTCAAGTACAAAGTCTGGAACGTTTATGTGGCGCCGCCCATTGTCCAGTTCTTCGCCAAACACCCGATTGTGGACAAATACGACCTGTCCTGCCTCAAATATATCGGCGCAGGTGGAGCTCCTATGGGTACTGAGGTGGAGGAGGCGGTGTTCAAGCGTATTGGAGCCAAGGTGGGCCAAGGCTACGGTATGACCGAGCTGTGTGGACCCGTGACGATGCCGGCTTACGAGATCAACCGACCCGGTTCGGTTGGTCAGTTGTTGCCTAACTCTCAACTTCGTGTAGTATCACTTAGCAACGGAGAGGAATTGGGAGCGAACGAAGTGGGCGAGTTGTTGATTCATACCCCCGCTATGATGGAGGGATACTACAAGAGCCCGGAAGAGACCAAGAAGTCGATCACACAGGATGGCTTCGTCCACACTGGCGATGTTGGCTACATCGACAATGATGGCTTCATCTTCATCGTCGACCGAGTTAAGGAGATGATCAAATACAAGGGACATCAAGTGGCCCCTGCTGAACTGGAGGACGTTCTACACGGCCATCCAGCCGTCGTTGACTCCTGCTGTGTGCGTGGCAAAGACTTGAAATCTAGTGAAGAGATCCCGAAGGCGTTTGTGGTGCTACGGGAAGGTGCTTCCAGCACCCCTGAAGAGATCATGACGTTTGTGGGCGAGAAAGTAGCTCCGTACAAACGCATCCGCCAAGTTGAGTTCGTGGACGCGATTCCTAAGACGATGTCGGGCAAGATTTTACGCCGTCAACTGCAACTGCGCGAGGATAACACGATTAAAGCAGCGACGATGCCCTGAATATCGCAAAAAGTAACACAGATCCAATAGCAATCCAAAATGATATTTTGCACCAAAGATGTTGACTGTGAGTCCATGTAGTTGTACATTAAAAGAATAACCATTGCTTTGTTGTAAACTTGATGAAGAATATCGAACGGCTACTCCATAGCTCACTCTCTCGAATCATCCACTGGCATTCATCCACCACGCGATCTGGTACTTCGACTTCGGATGAATGAGGCTTCTCTGGGAGTTGCTTAGTTGACTCAAACAGCTCTCGGCAATCGGCGAGATGCAAGTCCATTGTCGATCCAGGTACTTGCGAAGTCGCCTCGTGACTGACGCATCATGTTTCGAAGTATCGTAGAAGAAGACGAATTCTTTTTTTAAAGCATGTCGAATGGCTTTTTCAAGCGGTATGTGGCCTCCATCTGCGTACTGGTACTTCTTTTGAAGACCGTCCATGGACACCATAACGTTTCCGACGTCTGTATCCACACCCGGAGGCGTTACATGTACCTTTGTAGGGTCGACCAAGTCGATTTCGATCGCTTTTTTGAGGAACGGAGCCGAAATCTGCAGACAATGGGCAGCTCCTTTAGCCCCTTTGTCTG